AATTATACCTAATGTTTAAGAAAGAAATTATAACAATTCTTTGGAGACTCTTCCAGAAAATTGAGAAAAGAGAAAATATTTCCTAACTCTTTCTATAAGGCCAACATTACCCTCACACAAAGACACTAAAGGAAAACTACAGACCAATATCACTCATCAACATAAATGTAAAAATTTTAAACAAAAATCAAATACAACAATAAATAAAAAAGATAATACAGCACAACCAAGTAAAGTTTATCTCAGGAATTCAAGATTTAATTAGCATTTGACAGTCAATATAATTCACTGTATTAACACAATAAAAAATAAAGATAACATCAGTTTAATAGATGTGGAAAACTTTTTTGACAAAATTCAATATCTATTCCTAATAAAAGCTCTCAGAAAATGAGAAAATAGAAGTGAACTTCTTCAACCTGATAAAGGGCATCTAACATCAGACTTAATAGTGAAAGACTGAAAGCTTTCTCCCTGAGATCAGGATCAAGACAAGGATGCCCACTCGTGCCACTTTTATTCAATAATTCGCTCTAAGTTCTAACTAGAACAGTCAGTCAAAAGAAAGAAATAAAGGGCATGCAGATTGGAAAGGAGAGAGCTAAACTATCTCTATTTACAGAGTACGTGGCATAGAGAGAGCCCTAAGGAGTCCACACTTACACACACTAAAAGCTTTTTTTTTAAGAGCTAGTTAGTTCAGCAAAGTTGCAGGATACAAGATTAATATACAAAAATCAATTGTGTTTTTACATACTAGTAATAAAATAATTGGAAATTGACATTAAAAATAATGATACCAATTTTAATAGTATAATAAATGTAAATTACTTAGGGATAAATCTGACAAAAAATGAGGAAGACGTGTACACTGAAACCATAAAATACTGCTAAGTGAAATTGAGGACTTAAATAGGTAAAGAGAGATACTTCATTCATTAATATTGTGAAGGTGTTTACTCTCCCAAAATTGACCTATAGATTCAATGGGATACCAATCAAGACCCCACCCAACTTTTTTTCAAAAATCGACAGTCTGGTTCTCAAATTCATATTGGCATGTAAAGGACTTACATGCCAATAGAGTAGCCAAAAACAATCTCGAAAAGAACAACATATTTGGAAGGATAACACTGATTTCAAGACATTATAAAGCTATAGTAATCAACTCAGTGTGATATTGGTGTGAAGATAAACAGCTAGATCAATATGTACTTTTTCTGAAGACAGGCAGAGTCATAATTGATCTTATCCAGATAATATTTGATGGAATGATGACATGAGAAACCATATTTCAGCAGACTGGGATGTGAATGAAGAACTGAACAGTACGGAAAAGTGAGTTTATGTAGAAGTCTCCTACTTTCTCTGTTCTAAACACAGAGAGGTTTGCTTGTTTGTTTTTAATTTTTTAAAAAGTCAGCTCTATAGGTCTAAACAAAATGGAACACACAACAGCAAGTGGGGTCGAAGTGCTGGCTTACTGGGCTCAGAATGAAAAGCAGGTGGTATTGGCTGACTTTCAACTCCTGCAGTCGAATATTAACAGGGAGCCCCTGCTGAGTATCAGGGGCCCAGAACTAGTGACCCTACTTCTAATAGCTGCAGCCTGTTTCTGGGGAATGGTCAATATTGGGCTGTTGCTCAAGGTATGGGAGAGAACAGAGAGTTCTCTGGGTACAGAGCTGAGTTTGGCTCTGGCCTGAGGACTAAATCTGCACCATCCCCGCTAGACCAGACCTCAAACTAGTTTATTACATTTGGTTCTGTGATGAGGTCCCAGAGGACCATGCAAGGACAGAAAACTGCAGCAAGAAGATACAATCGAGATGAGCCACACACTAAAATCTCAAAGCACAGGGAAACTAATACATAAAGGATATCCAAAAAAACTTAAGAAATAAGAGGGAAATAAAAGAGAAATCTGAAAAAGCCTTTGATATCAGTATCTTTAAGATCCTCTAAGAGGAAAAAGAGGGATAGCATCTACTCTCCAAAAAAGAAAGAAAAAACAGAGTTTTATGAAGAAAAAAAAAATACGGATAGCTATGAATCAGAAACTGTTGGACATGAAAAAAGAATCAACCTGAAATTTTGGAAAGAGCAAAATATATTTATTTAAATACAACACCTCTGTGGGTGTCATAAACTCTAGACTGAATATAGAAATTAGTGACAGTAGAAAGCCGAACAAGGGAATTTATCTAGAACACACAGCACAGAAGAAAAGTGCCCTGAGAGCAAATATAGATCATACAGTGAAATGAATGAAAAGTAAGAAAGAGCCGGTGTTGACACTATTTCAAGAATATTAAGTATTAAAAAAAGGTAGAGAAAGGAGATACTAGCTGGAAAAAAAAAAATTATAGAAGTAGGAGAATGTTTTAAATGGGAGAGACTTGCCTTGGTTAGTAAATTTCAGGAGGAAAGCTAATAGAGGCGTTATACACAGGGAGAAAGGGCTGAGCCAGGGGAGAGGAACGAGATGAGGGTAAGGGGGTTGACCTGGTGGGAGCCGTACCCTCGAGACTAGAGGGAAGAGTGGGTCTAGATGTGGATGAGCTGAGAGAGAGATTGGCCTGAAGCTGTGTGAGTTTACAGTATTTCATTTCACCCAGGAAGTAGGAAGTGGTAAACCTGAAAATAAAGAAAGGAGAAAGGTGACGATAAATTAGGTCATTTATTCATTCAACTACTTTTTATAAAGCACCTACTGGATGCCAGGAACATTTCTAGGTACTGGGGACAGCACTGAACTAAGCATGGGCTAATGGAATTTTGGGTTAATGGAATCCAGAGTTACTGAAACATGCCAAAGCTTTAAAGAGAGGAAAGAGGACACCAGTGACTGTGGACTAACAGCGTTTTTTTCAAACTGCCTATGTCTGTTGCGTAGGTTGTTTTGGCATTGTGAACTAGTAGGCTCACTAGAGGGATAGTGCTCTAGGTCAGCACCAGGCTGAGTGATACATGGAGGGTGAAATTGAGGGTGAATCCTACTAAAGATCAATGGAATCCCAAATTCTCCTACCAGCCATGTAATGTGTCACGCTTCTCTTTCTTACAGAGTATTTTGTTTTTCTTCTCCAATGGTTTAATTCTGTGAAATCTGTAGAGCTGTTGTAGGTGAGGTTCTCTTTTCTCAAAAACTGATTCATATATTTTTAAAATTTTAAGCATCTACTACATGCCAGGCACCATTCCAGATGTTTGGAATATGTAAGTTAGCAAATGTCCTGCCCTCATGGAGTTTGCATTATAGTGGAGGGAGACAGACAATGGACAATTAGTACACAATAAAGAGGTATATTATAAAGACAATTAAAAGGAAATAAGTGCCTTTAGAGAAAAGAAAAATTATAGTGGGGAAAGGGAGGCTGAGATTGCAGAAGGGCAGATTGCACTGTTCAGTGGGTCGGTGAGGACAGGTCTCTCCGAGAAGGTGGCTGCCTGGGAGCTGGTAAGGGTCCAGCCATGCAGCTCTCTGAGGGAAGGTTAGTCTGTAGACTCAGCGGGCACCAAGTCACTGAGGTGAGAGAGCCTGCAAGTGTGAGGAACAGCTAGGGGGCCAGAGTGGCTGAGAAGAAAAAGGGGTGAGATTAGTTGATGTCAGAGAGAATGCATGGCAGTTAGGCTTAGAACTTTCTGGAACACCCTCTCTTATTTTGCATGCGATTTAGCAAGGCAATGTGGCAGTGATGTGGGAGCCAGCCAGAGGTGGATGTGAGCTATGTGGGCCCTCCAGCAGAGCCAAGCAGCCCCTGCAGACCAGTTCTAGGGCCCAAGCATGATTGCTCTCCTCTAGCTGAGCTGTCACCTCTCATCCCAGGGCTGGTGGGCTGGGGTGAAGGAGAGTTCAGACAGCAGGGAAGAGGCAGATAAATGGCCCCAGGAGCGCTGACCAAGTCACAGATTACCTCTGGGGATGATTAAATAACCCCAGTGGCTTTATCGATCTGCATAATTGCCTAACCTGGTCTTCTTTTTGAAACAAGGAGCCAAGTTGAGTGAAGATCCAAACCCATCCCAAACCCTGAATAGTTTTTTAAAACCATAAATCAGCCTTTCTGTATTTCACCTCCTAGAAACAGGGCGTGGCCTGAGTTTGGGAGAAGGCAGATCACTCCTTAGATACCGCAGGCTCCTCCCACACTCTGTCAAAAGGAAGGAGGCTGGGTGGAGGAGCTATCTTTTCAAATGACAGATTTTTACAAATGTTTTGCCTTGAGACGCCTAGCATCTTTAGGAAGCATTTTACTGGCAGCAGGTGGGTGGATCTGTAGTTGTGAGGCTCTTATTCCGGAAACCATGGCTTCCAGGTGCAGGCCAATTGCGGTGGGAGGCAGATGCTTTCCTCAAGGGTGCCGCGGAGAGAGAAACATCAGCTTGCTTTCTCCTGGGATCTGCATCGGCTGAGCAGTCTCCAGCACTTAGTCCTAGCTCAGCCAGGTCAAGTACCAAGTGTGAGAAACAAAGGACTGAGCCATTATAGTCTGGAGTCTAGACTAACAAGTCGAGCTGTTGACAATGACCACCTTACAGTGGTGTCTAATAACTCCGGGGCAGCTTGAGGCTTCCTCAAGGATTTACTCTTCTACAGGCTTTACTTTTATGAACATTTTAGCAAGAGTGATTTAAAAAAAAAACACACAACTTTTGAGCTTATTAGTTTGTCACTGCAGAGAAAACCATTTATAAGACTTTATAGAAAACTGGGACGAGTTCTTGATTGTGGCCATCTGGGACCCGATGTTTATGCCCCTCCTGAGGGAGGGTCGTTCTGCGCATCCGCAGCTACGGGGCTTCAGAAAGACAAGAGTGCATTCTCAGGGGTGCTCCACCTCAGGCCTTCTACCTGTGAAGTGTGCCCAGTTCTGGAGAGACTTGAGAGAGGCTCTGAGCACTGGGCAGACGAATCCCAGGAAAGAGTCCATTACAACTGCATGGCAGGTTGCAAACTAACCTTTCAACCCCGCTCTCTCTCCAACCCCATGCTCCAGCTGCCCACTCAGCTCAGGCTCAGGACCGACCAACCGCCACAGTGTCGCCCCTGCGCAGCCAGAGCTCCCCATCCCGCCTGCCCACAGCCAGCCTCAGGCCCCACTCCATGGTGTCCCCGCAGCACATCCACCAGTCCCCGATGCAGACCGTCATTGGGGTCCCATGCCCCCGATCAGTCATCCCGCTCATGTCAGCAGCATCAGCCATCACACCTCCAAACGTCAATGCTGCCAACCTCAACGGGGAGGCTGGAGGGGGGGCCATCAGTGGCCTGTCAACATCCAGCCCCACCAACACGGGATGCAAACCAGATGAGAAGAAAAATGAAAAGGTAAGTGGCCCATCCTGGGTGAGCTTTGGCCCAGACCCAGCTGGTTATTTTAACTCTTTGTACAATTAAGACTTGAATGTGGGCACTGAGTTCCTGCCCTCAGATGCATGGGGCACATGATAGACATGGAGGCCAAACCAGCAAAGCAGCTGGTCCTTGAAGTGGAATTCAGGCAGGCCTCAAGTCCTGGTAGTGTTGACCAGAGTCCAACTACAGTTTTTATGCAAATCACCAAAATGTGTCTTCTTCTCAAGATGCTTTAGTTCCATCTGTTGGGAAATCATTGTAATATACTCATTTTGTCAGAACGACATACTTCTTGCCGTGTGCCAGGATATTATAATAATAAATATACAAATCTACTTATGTGCAGTGCGAACAGCGCCCACTCCCTTCAATGTGTCATCCTTGTGCAGGCCAAAACCTGTTCAACCACATGGGACAGGCCTGTTTACTGAGGAGAAAAGAAAAGAGGATGCCAGCCTGGTGGTTGGTGTGCATCGCATTTCCGGCTATTCTTTTAACCATGAAGGAACTCTGAGTCCAGTGGGCTCGCCTCAGTTGTCACCCAGCTAGACATTGGATTAGCCAAGATTAGAATCCAGATTTCTAAATCAGTGCTGTCCAATAAAAATATAAATCAAGCCACATATCTAATTTAAAATCTTCTAGCAGTCGCCTTTTTAAAAAGTTAAAAAATAATTTAAAAATAAAAGGTGAAATTCATTTTAATGGTATAATCTATTAAACCCAGTATCCAAAAATATTATCATTTCAACATGTAATCTATATTTTAAAAGTTGTTGATGAACTCTTTTATCTTTTTTCACATTCAGTCTTTAATAGCGTATGAGAAAGTCAGTGAGACAGCTCCAGTGCTCAGGGCCCTCTGCTACCTGTGGCTCTGTAGACAGTGCAGGCCTAAATCTTCAGCGAGGAACTACTTTTTTTATCAGCCTTGTTGTATGAAAGGCTTATTTTCATGTTCTTCTTGTCCTCACTTTGTGGCTCTTTTAAAACCTTTCTGTATAAAATCAGTCTTTTGATTAGAGTGTGCTAGCCAGGGTACAGATGAGACCCTCGACACTAGATGGTATATTCAAAGTGAGGACAGCCTCTTATGTCTTTTGGGGACAATAGCAAAACCAGCCTTCACTGTTCAGTCCATCAGCCCAGGATCCCCTGGAGGTACACCCACCTACTCAGTACCCTGTATATGCGGGAGTCTAGGAACCCGGCAAAGATGTGCACACCAGACTCGTCAGGGCCTCTGGACCAAGGCTAAGGCCTTGTTACCACCTGTCTCATCCAGTCCAGAGGAATAGTGTTCCGCTGCTAACTGGTGTGGAAGAGGCCCCAGTTACAGCCACTGCTGCTGAGCTCTCAGCTGACAAAGCTTAAATCTCCTTGAGACCATCATAGTGCCTGGGCGTGAAGTGAAATAATCGCTCTGCATTTTGTGTACACCTTCCTCTGAACATCGCTTATGCCTTGATCTGCTTCCTTCCACCAGCAGCTTTATTAGCAGATGTGGCTGGATCTTGTAGGGAGGCGGAAGTGGGGTATGGTCCCGCCCTCTCACTTGGACATTTTTCCTGGAAGACAAGACCCTGTAGGCCTCTGAGATGCTGAGAAAAAATGGGACAGATTTGAAAAGGGAAGAGCCATAATAGCTCTGTAAACATTTCTGGGTTTTTTTGCCCCAAAATTTCATCTCTCTAGTTGTGAAACAGATATGGCTGGCTTCAATGTGGCTCATTACTAAGGAGAGTCAGGTTTGTAGGAATCTACGTAGAGAGTGACATTGTTTGTCATCTCTGCCCTACTAAGTGTGTCTGTCGCTAATGAGAACTAGCCCTGGGTTTGCTCTCAACATTTAGCAGGTGTTTTGCTTAAACTCAAGGTTTATTCTCTGCTAACAATTCTTCTACATCAGCAAGGAATAGTTGAGTCCAGGGCACACCCGAAGTGTCCCTGTTGAACGGCACCTTGGAAGGAAGCCCTGCTACCCGATGGAAAGCAATAGCTATGTCAGCTTAGCTCAGACCGCTCCCGAGGTTGGGCCTGGCAGTGGAAATGCACAGGCCAACAGCGGCCTGTACCCAACTGTGCTTGAGCTTGGGCGCAGACTCCTCGCAGCACAGGGAGCCGTTTATGCTGTGCTCCCAAGTAGGAAATGAGATGGGCTTCATGAGATTAAGTGTCCATAGGTACAGCAGCAATCGTCAGTGTCAAACGCCGACTGGTAGACAAGTACATCATCCTTCCAAGAGTTATGTGTAGTTTTCATTTCTCACCTTTCAAACAAAGCAAATAATAATTATAATAATAAAGCACTGGTCTGAAAAAGCACCTGTTACTTTTTTACCCTTCCATATTCCCAGTTGAATTTTTCCCAATTTACAGTTAAGGTGCAAATGTCCACAGTTGCTATTTCTGGCAGAAGAGCTGAGACGATGGCTGTTTAAATCCCGTTCCTCACAAGCAGGCAAACTATGTGGTGTGTGTGCCCTGAGCCAGCAGTGTGCAATGTCCCTGCCCCACCATGACTACGACTGAGCAGATTTTTCCCAACCTCGAGAACACAGTGATCAGTTTCAAATCTATTTCTGGGTAGCCCATCTAGATATGCACATGTCCAAGTACAGCAAAAGGGTTTTTTAAGCAATTGGCAGTATTCTGCAGGCTGTTTCTGTTATTGAATTTTCCCCGGAGAAGAGATGGAGCTCCCAGCCCCACTGTTCACAGAGACCCAAACATCAGTGCCTGTGTGTTTTCACAGTGCGTGGCTCTGCTGAAATTTGATCCAGGATCTTCCAAGCATGTGCTTGTGAGAGAAAGCTCTGACCGACGGGGCTCCTGGCCACCCGGACAGAGACTACAGTCAGTGATCAGCAGCGGTGACATGCTCAGAAGGGAAGAAGAAGCTCATGGCCATCCTACAGCCATGAGCATCTGACCTTAAAGCCTTTCCTGGCCACCTAGCCAGAAGTCACTCAAGTACTCGCTCAGCTGTTGCAATGAGCACATGTATGAGCCAGGCAGCGTGGTAGGCCCTGGGGTCTATAGCGATGGAAGCTTCAGCCCTGTTCAGAGAGACACAGAGTCTAGTACAGAGATGGGACTGGTAAGCAGGCAACTGCAATAGAATGTGACAGGCCTGGGGATGGGGCCAAGGGGCTGAGAAGGGTGCCTGGTTGGGAGACTGGGAGAGTTCCTGAGAGAGCCTCTGTCTGACAGGTGGGAGGAACTTCCAGGCTCAGGGAACAGCCTGCGCAGAGGCCAGAGGTTATGTCTCAAGGCTGAGGAGCCCGTGAGCAGCCAGGAGGCAGTAAGGCAGCTCTTGAAGGGCCTCATGTCAACCACTCACTGCTCAGCAGTTGGAGTTGTCTGGCGCTGGGCAGAGGGTGGAATTTAAGACCTGATCAAAGGACACAGGATGTGCTCTTACCTTTACCTGAGCTCTGAGCCCCTGGCTATCTTTACTCTTCCTCTTCAGTGGACTGTGTCCCATGCTGTGACTCTTCTACTGTCATGCTTCTTCTTCATGTCATGCTCTCCTGTTGTTAATGTTTGAAAATGACCCGTTCATGGGCCACAAAACCAATTTAGTGTATTTAGACCAACATTTTATTTAGACTGAATAGAATACATAGGACGAAACTGACTAGATCAGCTTGCATGGCACACAGCAGCATCGGGATGTTGGGAGAAACAATTGTCCAGTGTGCTCAGTCCTGCTGCAAAATGTAGTTCAAGAAAGTCTCAGGGCCCTGAAGAGCACCTTGCTCATAGAAGGCATCTAGTGATAGTTGGAAAAACTGCTGCTAATGAGTTTTCACTGCCGTGACTAATGAGAAAGTCTTTGCTTTATGGGTCAGAATAAAGTTAACTTTCTGCTTATGGATGAGATAGTTTTAGTTTCATAGAATAATAGAATATTGTAACTGAAAAGAACCACTATAGATCTTTTCATTAAACTCACTTTCAGTGGTGCTCCTGAGGCTCAGAGATGTTGAGAGACTTGTCGGGTCACACAGCACTGGCGGTGGAGCCAGGATAAGAACTCTGCTTCTCAGCTTCTATGTCAGTGCTGTCTTGGCTTCCATGTGCTGATTCATGGTGGTCTCTCCAGTACATGTGAGGCCATAACTTCAGCAGGTATGTTTAACTTGTTCAGGAGTCTCAAAGTGAGAAGTCTGGGGTAGCTGCTGGCAGGAGGCCATGAGTTTGGCCCCAGAGAGGGTATGTGCACCCGAGTGTCTGCCTTCTGGTTCTACATTGGACTCAGCTGCAGCTGGAGCCTCCATGACAGAACCACTTGGCCAGATCCACGTGGATAGCATGACCTTTATAATTAAGGCTTTGGGGAACTGGTTTGGTCTGAAAGGAACAGGAGACCTCACAGACTGACCCATAACAACAGTATGTATGTTGGCCTGGCCCATAGCAAGGATGTTATAGGAAATATATTTGCAGATAAACTTGTTCTTTATTATCTACACCTCACCCATTTAAAAGTATGTGTGTGTATATATATATGTGTGTGTGTATGTGTGTGTGTGTGTGTGTGCACGCACATGCATATATATATGTATGTATGTATATGAGAATGGATGATAAAAAGGCACATATATATATAGGATTATGGTTATATTTTTAATGAAAACCCAGGAATGTACAATCTAAAGAAATCTTGAGAATGAAGTTCTTTAGGACAACCAGGCAGGTTTTTCTAAAGTGAAGAGTCACTGGTATGTGAATTTATTTTCTCTCCCATGGGGCTCACTGCAGTAAGCAAGCCTTTACTTGCGCTGTTTCGAAAATGTAGTCTGGGAAAGAGGTTGCTGTGGGCTCTGTGACCAACATCTCAGTTGTTGCCAGTATGTTTCCAGTTTTGACACAGACAGATGCCTTCCTGCCATCACACACTAGTGGGTGAGCCCCACCAGCCTGACCTGTGGTGGGGTGGTGTTCCACTGCATTTGTTGACATCAAAT